TGTCGAAAATGGCGTCTTTTAAAAGACATCAAAACCTTGTTGCTACATCCGACCTGTGGGGTGTTTAATGTAATATCATCAAAATATCTTTATTAATCGGATCACTATTCGGTATTTAAAGATTACGAAAAAAAAAAAAAAATTTGATAAATATAGATTATTAATCGAAGGCGTCTGAAAAAAGTTTTTTTTTCAATTTTATTTATTTTTTGGATTTCAACGATTTTAAATCAAAACTTATTTGTTTTATTACAAAAGTATAACGAGAGTATTCATTGGCAAATGAAAAAAAAAATTTTACCACATATTTTTTATTAATATCAAAATGATTCAATGTCTGTAAGAAAAGTAGATTTTAAATGTATATTTTCATAAATTAATAAAATCAAAAATTTAGTGGCGCGATATAATGAACCAACTTTTTTAAACTGAATGTCGACCTTGACAGATTGATTCGATATAATAATAAAAATTCCAATTTATAAATGTATTTTTTTTCTGGCGTTTAGCATCAAATGGATTATGATAATTATATAGAAGATATGAGCCAGATCAATATTGAAAAAAGTTCTCAGTTGCTGCTTGGATGTAGATTTTGAAAAAACCATTTTCTCTGAAATATTTCGAAAACTATTATCCATTCCATAGATATCAAAATAGAAATAACAAGATAAAAATCAAAGTTAAATGGTTCTCCCCTAAAACCAGTTTGGGTTTATATATAACCTAAAATGTATAAGCATGGTTTATTTTAAAAATGAACGTGAGGATGCCAAAATTTCTGAAATTATATTATAATATAATATAAATAAAAAGAAAGAAAAAAATGTTCAAAGAATGTAAAAATAACAAATGAACGTCGAAGAAATAAACAAAAAAATTAATATAAAAAATAGAACTGGGCAAATATTAAATTCATATATTTAGATAGATGGCAAAAATTTTAAATATAAATTTAATAATTAAATTGGCCTAAAAATATTATATTTTAAATACCCAAAATATAATGGCCTATGAATTGATTAAATAACAGTAATTTTAGGGGTATGTCTAAAATTAAAAAATGAGAATGATAGATATCCGTCTGGTTAAAAATTATGGAAATTTATTTATTTATTTTTTATTTTTTTTTTTTCTGAACCAAATTTGTTTAGGATTTTAACAAATAATTACCCTGAGTTGACATCTGTTGAATGTAAACAAATGATACAAATTATTAACACCTTCCTAATTCCTTTTCTTTTTAAACAATTGCTATAGCCGTTACCATATAAATTTTGATTTCAATAATGAATATATAAATTATAAAACACGTAAATTTCAGATATAATTTATTCCCAAAAAATTTCGCTTGAAGATGGAACAGAGCTTATTATATAATTCAATTTAATTCAAATAATTATATTGAAGTTTTCGGCTCTTGTTTTTTTGAAACATGAGAACTCTTATGTAGCGTTTGAAATCATATTTTTTACAAATAATTATATTTATGCTCTACTTTTGTATCGAGCACTATTTTTTTAAATAAAACAAAAATACTAAAGAACTTTTAAATTATTTACCTAACGAGTTCTTTCCTATTTTCTATATATTTTTCACATACACACACACAAGATATATATATATATATATATATATATATATATATATATATATATATATATATATATATATATAATTTTTTTTTATATCAAAGAACAATATTGGGAAAATGTACGAAAAATTTTTCCAAAAAAATCTCCTGTGTTGGTCTAACTTTTATCATTATTATTATTATTATTATTATTATATATATATATATATATTTGAACGATGGACGCTGTTCGTAAAATACGTTTGACTACTGAGTATATTTCGGCAGCAATATTTCCTTTGTTCAACCAAAGTTCTTTGTTATAGATGTTTTTTTCATAATTTTCTGTTTTTCGAGCTATTTGCCTGCCTTACTGCGAAATTTTGAATATAAATTATCCGATGTCAGATTATTTTCAGTCGTCTTCCAGTTATGACTATATGCATCTAATGTGTTTTTTGTTATGTCAGTTTTATCATTTTTCAAAAATCGCGTCTTCACACATCATGTCGTGGAGGCACGATAATTGAACGAGCGTTATGTTGTGTGAAGACGCCAAATTTGGAAAAGATAAGATGCAAAGACAAAGGTCGACAGTTTTTCAAATATTTTTAATATTTTGTAATTCAACTTTGAACGCGCAACCTTAGTTTTTCTTAATGATACTTTGTTCTTTGTGTAAAAAAAAACAGTTTTGGGGTTTGTTTTTTTTTTCAATAAATCTTTTTTTTTTCAATATATATATTTCCTCGCCGGTAGCACAACTCAAAGTTTCATACACGATGCAATCCTCAGTTTACTCAGCACTTAACCATTGCATCGTGCAAGAAACTCAGAGTTGTGCTACCGATTATGAAAATATATATTTATAATTTGTACAAATTTTAGTTCTATTTTAGTACTATTTTATCAAGAGCAGCACTCAATGTGTGATACTTTATATATATGTATATATATATATATATATATATATAGAGAGAGAGAGAGACAGACAGAGAGAGTCGCCTGAAGATCCCGTGAGCGTGAAACTTAAGTAGCAAATCGAACAGTACCTTATATATATGACATGATAAAGAACAAGTATGAAACAGATCCTAATCTAACATGTTTCACTTTATTAAACCTTCGTCAGAAATCAAGATCAATTTTGTCGGATTCCTATCAATACTCGATATATATATATATATATATATATATATATATATATACGCGCACACACACACACACACACACACACACACACATATATATATATATATATATATATATATATATATATATATATATATGGTGGACTCTCCCCTCTTATTTTTTCGGCGTGTGAGGGTGAAGCAGCCCAATTCCTAGGAACCGACAGCCCAGACATATGATTTGATTATAGTGGTGAAAGCTTTTTGCAGAACCAAGCCCACTTTTTGAAGGGCCGAATACAGAGAACCCTGCACTACGTGCCACAAGGTCCCTAAATAACCCTCCGTATATATATATATATATATATATATATATACACTGTGTGCGCGTGCATGTATGTATGCTTATTCTAGAAAGGATATGGTTTATGCTTTTTGAATGTGCGGTGATGCAGATATTAATGTTGCTGCATTTAATAATCATAATATTCGAGTAATAAAGGCATTGGAAATATGGTATGGTTAGTAATGATTCAATGCTATTTGTTTTATGACAGCGCTATCAGTCGGAATGTTAAAACAAGGCGTTAAAAGCTGGTCAGCTGTTTGGGTTATGAAAGAAAGAAGAAATAAAACTGGGAAACAGATTTAAAAAAATTTACTGAGATTGAGTGAAAGAAAAAAGAAAAATGGAGCAGACTGTAAGCCGATGCAGCATACAAACAGCGGTAGCAACAATCATGGCAGGACGTGCAGTTTTAGTAGCAGCAGCGAAATCACCGTTAGAAACAGCTGCTAACAACCAAATGGAGCAGATGGCTCCCGATATGCACTTTCAAGGCATTTGCATTTGCATGTATATGTGAGAGAGAGAGAGATAGAGAGAGTCGGCAGTGGCGGGAGCAGGATTGGGTAAACTTGCATGTGCATAAATTCATAGATTTTGCACATCTGCTGCTGCATTTGTGGGTAAGGTGAAAAAAAAATATATAGTCCCTTCGTCTTCTTTGAATCTGCCAGCTTGTTTTCGCTGGGTACGTGTTGTGTGGCTTACCAATGAACACTGAGAATACAATACAGAACAGCATGTGTGAAATTAGTTTTAAAGTTTTAAAAACAGTAACTGCAAAGAAAACGCTGCTCACAACCAGAAAGATACAAATGATATACATAGTGAGAAAAAAAGGCTTGAAAATGTTAATACTCACAGGGCAAATCAATGACAAGAGAAACAAAGGCAGACAGCTTGACAGGTTTGAGCAAATGGATGACGGAACGGGTATCACAAAGAGACTTTATGTACTGCTGGAAGGACGAAAAGGTAGGAAGTCGTGGAGAGCTATGATCTCACATGCCCGAAAAGTATATAGCACTGTGAGAAGGATTTAACTAAAACACCCCAAGTACAGGGCACCTAGTAAGAAGTGAACTAAAAGTTCTCTAGTAATCTACTGTAAAACCAGCTTGTTAACTATGAACCCCATAATGAGGTAGATTTCCTTAATTTTGACAATGGTTATGAGAATAAGGCACTCAGTGAGGACATCACTCAATAGTGAAACCAGCTTGAAAACACATTCAGCTTCTGTTTAGATAGCAAAACGAAATTGCGAAAACTTACATTCGGGTCCTGACTTTCAGTAATTAGAACAGTTTGCGTACACTTACATTCGGATCCTATTTCAATAGGGGAACGAGCTTGCGTACACTTACATTCGGCTCTTATTTCAATAGAGGAACGAGCTTGCGTACACTTACATTCGGCTTCCGCTTCAATAGTGAAACGAGCTTGTGTCTACTTACATTCGACTTTGTTCCAATAGGTGAAAAGAGCTTGCGTTGCGTACACTTATATTCGGCTCCTGTTTCAATTGACAAACGAGCTTGCGTACAATTATATTCGGCTCCTATTTCGATAGGTGAACGAGCTTGCGTACACTTACATTCGATTCCTGTTTCGATAGCGAAACGAACTTACGTACACTTACATTCGGCTCCTGTTCCGATAGGGAAACGAGCTTGCGTACACTTACATTCGGCTCCTGTTTCGATAGCGAAACGAACTTGCGTACACTTACATTCGGCTCTTGTTTTGATAGCGAAACGAACTTGCGTACACTTACATTCGGCTCCTGTTTCGATAGCGAAACGAACTTACGTACACTTACATTCGGCTCCTATTTCGATAGGGGAACGAGCTTGCGTACACTTACATTCGGCTCCTGTTTCGATAGCGAAACGAACTTGCGTACACCCATTCGACCCTGTTTCGATAGCGAAACGAACGCGTACCTTACGTTCGGCTCCTGTTTCGACTTACGTTCGGCTCCTGTTTCGATAGCGAAACGAACGCGTACACTTACGTTCGGCTCCTGTTTCGATAGCGAAACGAACTTGCGTACCCTTACGTTCGGCTCCTGTTTCGATAAGGAAACGAGCTTGTGTACACTTACATTCGGCTCCTATTTCAATAGAGGAACGAGCTTGTGTACACTTAGATTCGGCTCCTGTTTCGATAAGGAAACGAGCTTGTGTACACTTACATTCGGCTCCTATTTCAATAGAGGAACGAGCTTGTGTACACTTAGATTCGGCTCCTGTTTCGATAAGAAACGAGCTTGTGTACACTTACATTCGGCTCCCTATTTCAATAGAGGAACGAGCTTGTGTACACTTAGATTCGGCTCCTGTTTCGATAAGGAAACGAGCTTGTGTACACTTACATTCGGCTCCCTATTTCAATAGAGGAACGAGCTTGTGTACACTTAGATTCGGCTCCTGTTTCGATAAAGGAAACGAGCTTGTGTACACTTACATTCGGCTCCTATTTCAATAGAGGAACGACTTGTGTACACTTAGATTCGGCTCCTGTTTCGATAAGGAAACGAGCTTGTGTACACCACATTCGGCTCCTATTTCAATAGAGGAACGAGCTTGTGTACACTTAGATTCGGCTCCTGTTTCGATAAGGGAAACGAGCTTGTGTACACACCCACATTCGGCTCCTATTTCAATAGAGGAACGAGCTTGTGTACACTTAGATTCGGCTCCTGTTTCGATAAGAAACGAGCTTGTGTACACTTACATTCAGCTCCTATTTCAATAGAGGAACGAGCTTGTGTACACTTAGATTCGGCTCCTGTTTCGATAAAAGAAACAGCTTGTGTACACTTACATTCGGCTCCTATTTCAATAGGGAACGAGCTTGTGTACATTAGATTCGGCTCCTGTTTCGATAAGGAAACGAGCTTGTGTACACTTACATTCGGCTCCTATTTCAATAGAGGAACGAGCTTGTGTACACTTAGATTCGGCTCCTGTTTCGATAAGGAAACGAGCTTGTGTACACTTACATTCGGCTCCTATTTCAATAGAGGAACGAGCTTGTGTACACTTAGATTCGGCTCCTGTTTCGATAAGGAAACGAGCTTGTGTACACTTACATTCGGCTCCTATTTCAATAGAGGAACGAGCTTGTGTACACTTAGATTCGGCTCCTGTTTCGATAAAGGAAACGAGCTTGTGTACACTTACATTCGGCTCCCTATTTCAATAGAGGAACGAGCTTGTACACTTAGATTCGGCTCCTGTTTCGATAAGGAAACGAGCTTGTGTACACTTACATTCGGCTCCTATTTCAATAGAGGAACGAGCTTGTGTACATAGATTCGGCTCCTGTTTCGATAAAGGAAACGAGCTTGTGTACACTTACATTCGCTCCTATTTCAATAGAGGAACGAGCTTGTGTACACTTAGATTCGGCTCCTGTTTCGATAAAAACGAGCTTGTGTACACTTACATTCGGCTCCTATTTCAATAGAGGAACGAGCTTGTGTACACTTACATTCGGCTCCTGTTTCGATAAGGAAACGAGCTTGTGTACACTTACATTCGGCTCCTATTTCAATAGAGGAACGAGCTTGTGTACACTTACATTCGGCTCCTGTTTCGATAGGGAAACGAGCTTGTGTACACTTACATTCGGCTCCTGTTTCGATAGCGAAACGAACTTGCGTACCCTTACGTTCGGCTCCTGTTTCGATAGCGAAACGAACTTGCGTACCCTTACGTTCGGCTCCTGTTTCGATAGGGAAACGAGCTTGTGTACACTTAGATTCGGCTCCTGTTTCGATAGGGAAACGAGCTTGTGTACACTTAGATTCGGCTCCTGTTTCGATAGGGAAACGAGCTTGTGTTCACTCCTGTTTCGATTCGGCTCCTGTTTCGATGGGGAAACGAGCTTGTGTACCATCGATAGGAAACATTCGGCTCCTGTTTCGATAGGGAAACGAGCTTGTGTACCCCACATTCAGCTCCTGTTTCGATAGCAAACGAACGAACTCCTGTTTCGATAGTACCCTTACGTTCGGCTCCTGTTTCGATAGGGAAACGAACTTGCGTACCCTTACGTTCGGCTCCTGTTTCGATGGGGAAACGAGCTTGTGTACACCACATTCATCCTGTTTCGATGGGAGGGAAACGAGCTTGTTTCGTACCTTGTACACATTCGGCTCCTGTTTCGATAGCGAAACGAACTTGCGTACCCTTTATGTTCGGCTCCTGTTTCGATAGCGAAACGAACTTGCGTACCCTTACGTTTTCGGCTCCTGTTTCGATAGGAAACGAGCTTGTGTACCCTTACGATTCGGCTCCTGTTTCGATAGGGAAACGAGCTTGTGTACATAGATTCGGCTCCTGTTTCGATAGGGAAACGAGCTTGTGTACACCTTACATTCGGCTCCCTGTTTCGATAGGAAACGAGCTTGTGTACACTTACATTCGGCTCCTGTTTCGATAGGGGAAACGAGCTTGTGTACCCTTACATTCGGCTCCTGTTTCGATAGCGAAACGAACTTGCGTGCCACGTTCGGCTCCTGTTTCGATAGGGAAACGAACTTGCGTACCCGATAGAAACGAGCTACGTTCGGCTCCTGTTTCGATAGGGAAACGAGCTTGTGTACATTCGATTCGGCTCCTGTTTCGATGAGGAAACGAGCTTGTGTACACTTACATTCGGCTCCTGTTTCGATAGGGAAACGAGCTTGTACACCCACATTCGGCTCCCTGTTTCGATAGGGAAACGAAGCTTGTGTACCTTACATTCGGCTCCTGTTTCGATAGGGAAACGAGCTTGTGTACACCACATTCGGCTCCTGTTTCGATAGGGAAACGAGCATGTGTACACTTACATTCGGCTCCTGTTTTCAATAGAGGAACGAGGCTTGTGTACACTTACCATTCGGCTCCTGTTTCGATAGGGAAACGAGCTTGTGTACACTTACATTCGGCTCCTGTTTCGATAGGGAAACGAACTTGCGTACCCTTACGTTCGGCTCCTGTTTCGATAGGGAAACGAGCTTGTGTACACTTAGATTCGGCTCCTGTTTCGATAAACGGCTTGAAACGAGCTCCTGTTCAATACACTTACATTCGGCTCCTGTTTCGATAGGGAAACGAGCTTGTACACTTACATTCGGCTCCTGTTTCGATAGGGAAACGAGCTTGTGTACACCACATTCGGCTCCTGTTTCGATAGGGAAACGAGCTTGTGTACACTTACATTCGGCTCCTGTTTCGATAGGAAACGAGCTTGTGTCCTGTTTCGACACTTACATTCGGCTCCCTATTTCAATAGGGAAACGAGCTTGTGTACACTTACATTTTCGATAGCTCCGAGCTGTTTCGATTCGGCTCCTGTTTCGGGAAACGAGCTGTACACTTACATTCGGCTCCTGTTTCGATAGGAAACGAGCTTGTGTACACTTACATTCGGCTCCCTGTTTCGATAGGAAACGAGCTTGTGTACACTTACATTCGGCTCCTGTTTCGATAGAAACGAGCTTGTGTACACTTACATTCGGCTCCCTATTTCAATAGAGGAACGAGCTTGTGTACACTTACATTCGGCTCCTGTTTCGATGGAAACGAGCTTGTGTACACCCATTCGGCTCCTGTTTCGATAGGAAACGAGCTTGTGTACACTTACATTCGGCTCCTGTTTCGATAGGGAAACGAGCTTGTGTACACCATTTCGGCTCCCTGTTTCGATAGAAACGAGCTTGTGTACATTTCGGCTCCTGTTTCGATAGGGAAACGAGCTTGTGTACCTTACATTCGGCTCCTGTTTCAATAGAGGAACGAGCTTGTGTACACTTACATTCGGCTCCTGTTTCGATAGGGAACGAGCTTGTGTACACTACATTCGGCTCCTGTTTCGATAGGGAAACGAGCTTGTGTACACCCATTCGGCTCCTGTTTCGATAGGGAAACGAGCTTGTGTACACTTACATTCGGCTCCTGTTTCGATAGGGAAACGAGCGTGTACGCCCATTCGGCTCCTGTTTCGATGGGAACGAGCTTGTACCTTACATTCGGCTCCTGTTTCGATAGGGAAACGAGCTTGTGTACACTTATTCGGCTCCTGTTTCGATAGGGGGAACGAGCTTGTGTACACCCACATTCGGCTCCTGTTTCGATAGGGAAACGAGCTTGTTTCGTACACTTACATTCAGCTCCTGTTTCGATAGGGAAACGAAGCTTGTGTACACTTACATTCGGCTCCTGTTTCAATAGGGAAACGAGCTTGTGTACACTTACATTCGGCTCCTGTTTCGATAGGGAAACGAGCTTGTGTACACTTACATTCGGCTCCTGTTTCGATAAACGAGCTTGAAACGAGCTTGTGTTTCGATACATTCGGCTCCTGTTTCGATAGGGAAACGAGCTTGTGTACACTTACATTCGGCTCCTGTTTCGATAGGGAAACGAGCTTGTGTACGATTCAGCTTGTTTCGTACCTTACATTCGGCTCCCTTTTCAATAGGGGAACGAGCTTGTGTACACTTACATTCGGCTCCTGTTTCGATAGGGAAACGAGCTTGTGTACACTTACATTCGGCTCCTGTTTCGATAGGGAAACGAGCTTGTGTACACCCATTCGGCTCCTGTTTCGATAGGGAAACGAGCTTGTGTACACTTACATTCGGCTCCTGTTTCGATAGGGAACGAGCTTGTGTACATAGGGAAACTTACATTCGGCTCCTGTTTCGATAGGGGAACGAGCTTGTGGAATACCCCATTCGGCTCCTGTTTCGATAGGGGAACGAGCTTGTGTACACTTACATTCGGCTCCTGTTTCGATAGGGGAACGAGCTTGTGTACACTTACATTCGGCTCCTGTTTCGATAGGGGAACGAGCTTGTGTACACTTACATTCGGCTCCTGTTTCGATAGGGGAACGAGCTTGTGTACACTTACATTCGGCTCCTATTTCGATAGAGGAACGAGCTTGTGTACACTTACATTCGGCTCCTGTTTCGATAGGGGAACGAGCTTGTGTCCACCCATTCGGCTCCTGTTTCGATGCAGAAACGAGCTTGTGTACACTTACATTCGGCTCCTATTTCAATAGAGGAACGAGCTTGTGTACACTTACATTCGGCTCCTGTTTCGATAGGGAAACGAGCTTGTGTACACTTACATTCGGCTCCTGTTTCGATAGGGAAACGAGCTTGTGTACACCATTCGGCTCCCTGTTTCGATAGGGAAACGAGCTTGTACACTTACATTCGGCTCCTGTTTCGATAGGGGAAACGAGCTTGTGTACACTTACATTCGGCTCCTGTTTCGATGGGAAACGAGCTTTGTACACTTACATTCGGCTCCTGTTTCGATAGCGAAACGAGCTTGTGTACACTTACATTCGGCTCCTGTTTCGATAGGAAAACGAGGCTTGTGTACACTTACATTCGGCTCCTGTTTCGATAGGGAAACGAGCTTGTGTACCCTTACGTTCGGCTCCTGTTTCGATAGGGAAACGAGCTTGTACACTTACATTCGGCTCCTGTTTCGATAGGGAAACGAGCTTGTGTACACTTACATTCGGCTCCTGTTTCGATAGCGAAACGAGCTTGTAATACCCACATTCGGCTCCTGTTTCGATAGGGAAACGAGCTTGTGTACGATTCGGCTCCTGTTTCGATAGGGAAACGAGCCAGTACCTTGTGTACACTTACATTCGGCTCCTGTTTCGATAGGGAAACGAGCTTGTGTACACTTACATTCGGCTCCTGTTTCGATAGCGAAACGAGCTTGTCACTTACATTCGGCTCCTATTTCAATAGAGGAACGAGCTTGTGTACTTACATTCAGCTCCTGTTTCGATAGGAAACGAGCTTGTGTACACTTACGTTCGGCTCCCTGTTTCGATAGGGAAACGAGCTTGCGTACACACCATTCGGCTCCTGTTTCGATAGGGAAACGAGCTTGTGTACACCCATTCGGCTCCTATTTCAATAGGGAAACGAGCTTGTGTACACTTACATTCGGCTCCTGTTTCGATAGGGAAACGAGCTTGTACACTTACATTCGGCTCCTGTTTCGATAGGGAAACGAGCTTGTGTACCTTACATTCGGCTCCCTGTTTCGATAGGGAAACGAGCTTGTGCCTTACATTCAGCTCCTGTTTCGATAGGAAACGAGCTTGTGTACACCCATTCGGCTCCTATTTCAATAGAGGAACGAGCTTGTGTACTTACATTCGGCTCCTGTTTCGATAGGGAAACGAGCTTGTGTACACTTACATTCGGCTCCTGTTTCGATGGGGAAACGAGCTTGTGTACCTTACATTCGGCTCCTGTTTCGATAGGGGAACGAGCTTGTGTACCTTACATTCGGCTCCTGTTTCGATAGGGGAACGGCTTGTGTACACTTACATTCGGCTCCTGTTTCGATGGGGGAACGAGCTTGTGTACACTTACATTCGGCTCCTGTTTCGATGGGAACGAGCTTGTGTACCTTACATTCGGCTCCTGTTTCGATGGGGAACGAGCTTGTGTTGCTTACATTCGGCTCCTGTTTCGATAGGGGAACGAGCTTGTGTACACTTGATTCGGCTCCTGTTTCGATAGGGAACGAGCTTGTGTACACTTACATTCGGCTCCTGTTTCGATGGGGAACGAGCTTGTGTACACTTACATTCGGCTCCTGTTTCGATAGGGGAACGAGCTTGTGTACACTTACATTCAGCTCCTGTTTCGATAGGGGAACGAGCTTGTGTACACTTACATTCGGCTCCTGTTTCGATAGCAAACGAGCTTGTGTACACTTACATTCGGCTCCTGTTTCGATGGGGAACGAGCTTGTGTACACTTTTCATTTCAGCTCCTGTTTCGATAGGGAAACGAGCTTGGCACACTTACATTCGGCTCCTGTTTCGATAGGGAAACGAGCTTGTGTACACTTACATTCGGCTCCTGTTTCGATAGGGAAACGAGCTTGTGTACACACATTCGGCTCCTGTTTCGATAGGGAAACGAGCTTGTACACTTACATTCGGCTCCTGTTTCGATAGAGGAAACGAGCTTGTTTCCTGATAGGGAAACCACTTACATTCGGCTCCTGTTTCGATAGGGAAACGAGCTTGTGTACACTTACATTCGGCTCCTGTTTCGATGGGAAACGAGCTTGTGTACACTTACATTCGGCTCCTGTTTCGATAGGGAAACGAGCTTGTGTACCCTTACATTCGGCTCCCCTGTTTCGATAGGGAAACGAGCTTGTGTACACTTACATTCGGCTCCTGTTTCGATAGGGAACGAGCTTGTGTACCTTACATTCGGCTCCTGTTTCGATGGGAAACGAGCTTGTGTACACTTACATTCGGCTCCTGTTTCGATAGGAAACGAGCTTGTGTATCTGGCCTTTTGATACTTACATTCGGCTCCTGTTTCGATAGGGAAACGAGCTTGTGTACCTTTCGGCTCCTGTTTCGATAGCGAAACGAGCTTGTGTACACTTACATTCGGCTCCTGTTTCGATAGGGAACGAGCTTGTGTACACCCACATTCGGCTCCTGTTTCGATAGGGAAACGAGCTTGTGTACACTTACATTCGGCTCCTGTTTCGATAGGGAAACGAGCTTGTACACTTACATTCGGCTCCTGTTTCGATAGGGAAACGAGCTTGTGTACACTTACATTCGGCTCCTATTTCGATAGGGAAACGAGCTTGTGTACCTTACATTCGGCTCCTGTTTCGATAGGGAAACGAGCTTGTGTACACTTACATTCGGCTCCTGTTTCGATAGGGAAACGAGCTTGTGTACACTTACATTCGGCTCCTGTTTCGATAGGGAAACGAGCTTGTGTACACTTACATTCGGCTCCTGTTTCGATAGGGAAACGAGCTTGTGTACACCCATTCGGCTCCTGTTTCGATAGGGAAACGAGCTTGTGTACACATTCGGCTCCTGTTTCGATAGGGGAAACGAGCTTGTGTACACTACATTCGGCTCCTGTTTCGATAGGGAAACGAGCTTGTGTACACTTACATTCGGCTCCCTGTTTCGATAGGGAAACGAGCTTGTGTACCTTACATTCGGCTCCTGTTTCGATAGGGAAACGAGCTTGTGTACACTTACATTCGGCTCCTGTTTCGATAGGGAAACGAGCTTGTGTACACTTACATTCGGCTCCTGTTTCGATAGGGAAACGAGCTTGTGTACACTTACATTCGGCTCCTGTTTCAATAGAGGAACGAGCTTGTGTACACTTACATTCGGCTCCTATTTCAATAGAGGAACGAGCTTGTGTACACTTACATTCGGCTCCTGTTTCGATAGGGAAACGAGCTTGTGTACACTTACATTCGGCTCCTGTTTCGATAGGGAAACGAGCTTGTGTACACTTACATTCGGCTCCTGTTTCGATAGGGGAAACGAGCTTGTGTACACTTACATTCGGCTCCTGTTTCGATAGGAAACGAGCTTGTGTACACCTTACATTCGGCTCCTGTTTCGATAGGGGAAACGAGCTTGTGTACACTTAGATTCGGCTCCTGTTTCGATAGGGAAACGAGCTTGTGTACACTTACATTCGGCTCCTGTTTCGATAGGGGAACGAGCTTGTGTACACTTTTTTTTTTTTTTTTACATTCGGCTCCCCTGTTTCGATAGGGAAACGAGCTTGTGTACACCATTCGGCTCCCTGTTTCGATAGGGAAACGAGCTTGTGTACGCACATTCGGCTCCTGTTTCGATAGGGAAACGAGCTTGTGTACACTTACATTCGGCTCCTGTTTCGATAGGGAAACGAGCTTGTGTACACTTACATTCGGCTCCTATTTCAATAGAGGAACGAGCTTGTGTACACTTACATTCGGCTCCTATTTCAATAGAGGAACGAGCTTGTGTACACTTACATTCGGCTCCTGTTTCGATAGGGAAACGAGCTTGTGTACACTTACATTCGGCTCCTGTTTCGATAGGGAAACGAGCTTGTGTACACTTACATTCGGCCCTGTTTCGATAGGGAAACGAGCTTGTGTACCTTAGATTCGGCTCCTGTTTCGATAGGGAAACGAGCTTGTGTACTTACATTCGGCTCCTGTTTCGATAGGGAAACGAGCTTGTGTACCTTAGATTCGGCTCCCTGTTTCGATAGAAAACGAGCTTGTGTACACCCCATTCGGCTCCTGTTTCGATAGGGAAACGAGCTTGTGTACACTTAGATTCGGCTCCTGTTTCGATAGGGAAACGAGCTTGTGTTACTTTTCAACTCCTGTTTCGATAGGGAAACGAGCTTGTACACCCATTTCGGCTCCTGTTTCGATAGGGAAACGAGCTTGTGTACACTTACATTCGGCTTTTGTCATTCAGTACTTAACACAGCTTGTAAATGCTGACATTCATATTGTTTCTTTCGCATACGCTTATCTAATTTTATTTCATTCTCAAATACAGGCGACATCGTAGAGTTATGTATAACAAATCCATTTTATATATATATATATATATATATATATATATATTAACCAATTCATTTTTAACAAATCATCAGTGAGAACAAAATGTATATTTATTTTTAGTATATATATATATATATGTGTGTGTAAATTATTTTCAGATAGTCTACCTGTAAAGAAACAAAATAAATAATAAACGGGTCAACATTGTGAAAATTATTGAAACGTTTTATATTTTAGCTAAGAATAGTTTTCCTCTTGTCTTTTTATTCATATATATATATATATATATATATATATATATATATATATATAACGTAAATGTAAATAAAATAATACTCCGAGACAGACACTTAGATGTTGATGATAGCCGTGTACAGAATGTTGTGGTAATTTTGGTTTCTGCAGGAAAAAAAAAACATATGCCCTGTTAAAATAAAAACATCGAGCTCTCTGTGCATCAGTTATAATAATTAATATTATTAGTATCCACCCGGATTATATAGCAACGGATCAATTAGCGGTACTATATATATATATATATATATATATATATATATATATATATATATATTGGCCAAGTGGATTTAGAACATTCGCTTTCTGACCATGACCGGGTTAGAATCTCACCGAGGTTGATTTGTCAGCAAGGAGATATTCTGACTTTATCGATCTGGACGTTGGGAATGATCCCAACGGACGGTACCTTTGAAAAGTGTCTGAAAAACACACCACTGGTTGATCCAAGCCTTGTGAGTAAAACTGCGTAAATGTAACATTTAGGGGCCGTCGATAGCAGTGCAAGCACGAAGTCACAAGTCATCGTGACCGAGAGCTTGAGTGTGTTGGCGTTGTTCAGACTGTTGATCATGTTAGATAACATCATAGTTGCAGTATAAACCACAGGTTGCCTTTGTGGGTGTTAAACAAACACAAATGTGCCTCAGCTAGTTCTGCAATAGCCATTGGCTAGCCACCCTAGTAGACGGATACTCTCGAATACAAGTGGCTATATATATATATATATATATATATATATATATATATATATACACACAATACTTTAGAGGTATGCTATATTTATAGGTTAAAGTGCTCAGTGTCAGGAATAGAGCGTATGCAAATATAAAAGTGGACATTGAAGTCAACACCCAGCGACGACTGTCTGTTTCATGCTTTCATGCCAGACGATTGCGTTTCCGCTGAGTGTTGACTTCTTTGTCCTACTTTATATATATATATATATATATATATATATATATATATATATATATATATATTGAACATTGAAGTTAACACTCAGAGGCGACAGGCTGTTTCATGCTAGACGCAATCGTCAGGCCGCGAATGCTGGATTTTTCCTCAGCTATTTATATATATATATATATATATATATATATATATATATATATATAGGCAGTGGTGCATTGTGGGTAATCTATTCTGTCGGGTATTTTTTCGGGAGTGGCTTGTTTTTATTGTTCAATGGAGACATTTGGTTTTAAGATCAAAAGATGAAATATGAGACAGAGTTCAGAATTTCAACTTTTATTTTCTGTTATGTATATTTAGATGTGTAACACAGTTTAAGAAATATCACCTTTTGTATCAGTTTTAGGTGAACAAATATAAAGGAAGAGATAGTCTTAAAGTAAATAACATTTAATATTTGGTTGCATAACACTCGCTGACGATAACTGCATAAAGTCTGTGAGCCATTGACCAAACTGTTTCATTCTTCATCTATGATGCTTTTCCAGATTTTTTAACGCAGGGGGGCGGGGTCTTCCTTTATCTCCTCTTCAGGAATGCATGCTTTGTTGGGTTATGGTCCGGTGATTGACTCGTCCAGTCGAAAACTGTCCACTTTTTTTCCTTAATGAATTCTTTATTTGTGTTGGCAGTATATTTTGGCTAATTGTCCTACTGCTTGATAAAGTTCCACCCGATTAGATTGGATGCATTTCTCTGTAAATTGGCAGACAAAATGTTTCCGTAAACGTCTGAATCCATTCTGCTGCTAGTATCAGGAGTTACATCATCAATAAATATGAATGGGCCTGTTGCGGAAGCAGCCATGCTGACTCAAGCCAAGACACTGCCTGCATCATGCTTCACAGATGAGCGTGTATGTTTTGGATCATAAGCAGATCATTTCTTTCTCCACACATTGGCACTTTAGCGTTGGTTTCATCAGTCCATAAAACATTCTTCCAGAAGTTTTGTCGCTCATTACTATACTTTCTTGCAAATTCCAATATAGATGTCCCATTCTTACTGCTTGTGTGGGGTCTGCATTTGTGATATGGCCACTATATTATTGCTGTCAAATTTTTATTCGAAGGGTGGATTTCGAAACCTTCATCCCAATACCCTGAAGTTTGTTGGTGATGTCACTGACTCTTGTTTTGGGTGTTTTCCTCACAGCTCTAACGATATTTTTTATCATCAACTGCTGTAGTTCTCCATGGCCGACCTGTTCTATGTCTGTTGCTCAGTACACCAATAATTTCTTTTTTTATCGGGACATTCCAAATTGTTGTGTTGACTATGTCCAATATTTGTTCAATGGCTCTGATCGATTTTCCTTCTTTTCTCAGCTTCAAAATGGCTTGCTTTTTCCCTTTACAGGTGAAACCCAAGACTGGTATTTACCAAACCTCCCCACAAGGCCAGGATGTGCCACAAGGCCGGTTTTTAGATGGGGCAGTTCCGAGCCCGTAGGCCCGGCAAAAATTCCCTGTAGACCCTGCATACACAGGGCAGAGTTTGTGTACCTCCCCAGACGAGACCCTGCACTTCAGCAGACCCTCGTCATGGTTCCTCTCTGCTCGAGGTGACACCCAAGACTAAAGCAATAGTAGTCATTCAAAACTATTTAATGTTCAATCAATCTAAACGTAAATATCTCGGCAACAAGAAACATCTGTCAGTCACGTGTTCCAATAGTTTTGCTCACTTGAAAAATGGGAGGGTTCGAACAAAAGGTGGTATGTCCTAAGTTGTTTAATACATCTAAATGTAAATACCAGCGAATAAAAGCTGAAATACTGAATTCCTTTCTCAGTAATATAACGTTACTTTATAAAAAAAAAATGCCGCGTTCAAATAAATTAGAAACATTGCAATTATGTGCTATTTTGAGTTGTACAGTAAGCATTGTGACGAGAAATAATAATTTTCTTTTCATTTTTTCCCTATCACTGTAGATTAAGCACCCCAAACGAAAGAACCGTAAGAAAACAAAATGCATGGTCGTCAGTAAAAGAGACAGCCAAATGTGTGCGCTCCATGACGTTAATGGCTGGCCACTCGTATTCGAGGATACCTGTCTACTAGGGCGGTTAGCTAATCCCTATTGCAGACGCTTGCTCAGGCGCATTTTTGTTTTTGTTCAACACCCAGAGAGCCAACCTGTGGTTTATACTGCAACTATGCTGAGCAGTTACAGTTTCTGTGAAAAAGCCTGTTATTTAGTGTGATCAACTATTTGAACAAGGCCAGCAGGCTCAAGACCTCCGTTGCGATGACTTCGTGCCATCGATGGCCCCCAAGAATGACGTCTACCTAATTTCACTCTCAAACTTGGGCGAACCCCTGGTATGGTTTTCAGGCACTTTCCAGATGTGCAGTACGCAGGAATCGTCTCCTCAAGACCGATAATATCAAGAAGCCACCTTCCTGACAAATTGATCATGGTGAGATTCGAACCCGGATCTCATGGTCAGAAAGCGAACGTTCTAACCACTTGACCACTCTACATAGAAAGAAGAACGTACAAAGTGTAAGTAGTTAGAATACATAGTCTCAGCAAAAGAGGGAACCAAAGGTATGAAATTCATATAAGAGGGGGTCGGATTACAGTATAGGTGAATGTACATTGGATCGATACATATATGTTGCATACGATTTGTTGTCAATTCCTTTAGGAACAAGAATTTAGTAATACAAAACTGAAAATTGCTCCGCTTTCTTGAATGTATCTTGCCTTTAAATTGTACCGTTCTGGGTAAGGTGATAAACTACTTCCGCCTCCTGGGTAAGACGATAAACTACATCCGACAGCAAGGCCTCTGATCAGGCGGTTTTGAGGAGCGTTTAACCACGTCTTAATTGCTGGTGTTCTCAGGTCAACGCTGTTAGGATCCCAGCTATGGGCAAATAGTTAACCCCTAAACTGGGGGTCAAAACGTGTAAAAATAGGTTTTAATACCAGCAAAACATTTTTGCAATAAATCGTTAACAGCAATATATTATTACCAGCAATACATTTTTGAAAAAATATTACCAAAACTACTTTTTGAAAAAAATAATACCAGCAATAAAATACTTTTCGGCATTAAATAACCCATTATGGTTGATATACTGTAAAACAAACCAAGCCAAAAAATTAAGCTGCACATACGATTAGTTCAAACAGATTTTTTTAGGTCAGTTAGAGAGAGAGTGGTTCAATGATTTTCTCTGATCCCAAATTAGAGCCTGTAATCTTGACTAGTCTAGAGAAACACGGTGTGTCCAATCTGTGTCTTGTAGGAGACACCCTCTACCTTCATTAGATTTTTCAATGACTTTGTGTGTCTAAGGGTAGCGCCGGAGACCCCTTTTTTTGCCGATTTTGCTTTGTCGTTTGCATTTACTGGACAGCACTTTCACATTACCCACTGTTCTGTTGAGTCAGAAATTTTGTCTGTTAATTTTGCCAATGAAAACCGTTTGCTTGCGATCATTGCGATTAGTGATGTCGGCGTCGGCGTCTCAACGAAAAACTCTGAGCATTTCTGAACAGTTGGAGCTCATCGACGATGTCAAAGTGAAGAAACTCAAACTGGCCGCTGCAGCCAAAAAGTACGGAATCGGTTATTCAACAGCAGCAAATATTCTCAAGAAATAAGACGATCTCAGATTGTGCATGCAAATGAACGGAAACACTAATCGCAAACGAAAGCGCCAATCCGTGCACAAGGACGTTAACAAAGCGCTTACAAAATGGTTTACGCAAGCATGTGCTCATGGAGCTACCGTCACCGATCACGTCATCAGGCAGAAAGCATCACAACTGGCCATAAATCTTGAAGTTGATTTTGAACCGAGCAATGGCTGGCTCATTCGCTGGAAGAAGGCCAATAACGTTTCGTTCAAAAAATTTCACGGCGAATCAACGTCAGCAGATCACGGTTCTGCCAACGAATGGGTGACAAACGTTTTGCCGCAACTTTTTCGTGGATGTGATCCAAAAGATGTTTGGAACTGTGATGAAACGAGAATTTTCTACGAAGCCATGTCGTCTGGATATTTGTGATTTGCCAGCGACGAACAGTCAAATGGGACAAAAGTTCCCAAAGACAGACTCACGATGCTTCAGTTCACAAACATGGACGGCAGTGAAAAGCAAGCTGTAGTTGTTGGTAAGTCAGCAAAACCACGCTGCTTTAAAAATGTCAAAATGTTTTCTTACTTCGCTAATCGTAAAGCCTGGATGATTATTTAGCTGTTTACTGACGTTATGAAAACGTTTGGTCGAAAAATGATTGCTCAAAATCGAAAGATTATTCTGTTTTTGGACAATGCAACTTGTCATAACTTACTGCCGGGTACAAATCTGTCAAACATCAAATTGTCGTTCATGCCACCAAACACCACCAGTCTCATTCAACCTTTGGATCAAGGCATCATTCGTTCATTCAAAGCGTATTATCGTCGGGAACTTGTTCGAATGCAAATCGCAGCGATCGATGCTACACCGCCAGTGCCGCTGTCCGAGGTGGCCAAGCAGATAACTGTTTTGAAGGCCATGCACATGATGAAGCGAGCACTTTTCATGGTCAAACCGTCAACAATTCAAAATTGTTTTAAAAAAGGCCGGCTTTGTCATTGAATCACAGGCTGAAGTGGAAGAAATACTCGACGAAAATGATCAAGTTTCTCCACCATCGGGCATGGAGCAAACAGATTTTGACGAATTTATCAGCTTCGACGACCGTACACAATGTTATGGAGAACTGACTGACACGGACATCACACGTGGTATAAAATCGGATGATCAAGATTTTGACGAAGATGATGATGCTGAAAGCGTAAGTTCTGAAGTTTCTGAAAGTGACAAACCAGTGCCAAATTCTCTGGCTGCATTGAATGCGCTTGAAACTCTGACAGCCTACTTTGAAGCAAAAAGCAGTAATCCTGATGGCGCATTGAAAATGATTTACGGACTGTATTTTTAAAGTGTTCATGATGTTAACAAAAACAAATGAAACGGATTTCTGTACAATCAAAAATGACTGACTTTTTTAAGAAAAAGGAATTTTTGATTGAATTATTTTTTTAATTGAAAACTGATTGAAAATGTATTTTTGTTTTGTCTTTTTTTAATTTTATAGTTTAAATTTAAATGTTTTTTATCAATTTTTATGTCTATAACTGTTAAATAAAAATAAGCCTATATATACTATAAGCGAAAATCTTTCATAAAAATAAGAGAATAAATCAAAATAAATAAATAAAGCCTATTTTAATTAAGAAAATAATTGCCATGAAGGGAAACATTAATAAAACTGAATATTTATCCCTAGCATTTTAAAATATATATATACTGTGAAAATCAAAAAATAAGAGAATAAATGAAAAAAAAAATGCATGGTCATCAGCAAAAGAGATATCCACAAGGTAGGAGCTACATAGTGGGAAGGTCAAAAGAGAGAGAAAGAACTAAACATATGAAGACAAGATGCATGATTGCCAACAACAGAGGCACATCAAGGTATGAGATGCATAGTGGGAAGGTCAAAAGAGAAAGAACTAAATGTATGAAGACAAGGAACATGATTTCCAACAACAGAGGCATATCAAGGTATGAGTAACATAGTGGGAAGATCAAAAGAGAAAACCCAATATATGAAGACAAGATGCATGATTGCCAACAACAGAGGCACATCAATGTATGAGCTGCATAGTGGGAAGATCAAAAGAGAAAACTAAATGTATAAAGACAAGATGCATGATTGTCAACAACAGAGGCCTATCAAGGTATAAGATACATAGTGGGAAAATCAAAAGAGAAAACGCAATGTATGAACACAAGATGCATGATTGCAAACAACAGAGGCACCTCAAGGTATGAGCTGCATAGTGGGAAGATCAAAAGATAAAACTAAATGTATGAAGACAAGATGCATGATTGCAAACAGCAGAGGCACATCAAGGTATGAGATATATACTGGGAAGAACAAAAGAGAAAATTAAATGTATGAAGACAAGATGCATGATTGTCAACAACAGAGGCACATCAAGGTATGAGCAACATAGTGGGAAGATCAAAAGAGAAAACCCAATGTATGAAGACAAGATGCATGATTGCCAACAACAGAGGCACCTCAAGGTATGAGCTGCATAGTGGGAAGGTCAAAAGAGTAAGAACTAAATGTATGAAGACAAGGTGCATGATTGCAAACAACAGAGGCACATCAAGTTATGAGCTACATAGTGGGAAAATCAAAAGAGAAAAGCCAATGAATGAACACAAGATGCATGATTCCAAACAACAGAGGAAAATCAAGGTATGAGCTACATATTGGGAAGGTCAAAAGAGAAAGAACAATGTATGAACACAAGATGCATGATTGCCAACAACAGAGGCACATCAAGGTATGAGCTACATAGTGGGAAGATCAAAAGAGAAAACCCAATGTATGAAGACAAGATGCATGATTGCCAACAACAGAGGCACATCAATGTATGAGCTGCATAGTGGGAAGATCAAAAGAGAAAACTAAATGTATGAAGACAAGATGCAGGATTGCATACAGCAGAGGCACATCAAGGTATGAGATACATACTGGGAAGATCAAAAGAGAAAACTAAATGTATAAAGACGAGATGCATGATTGTCAACAACCGAGACACATCAAGGTATGAGCAACATTGTAGGAAGATCAAAAGAGAAAATTCAATGTATAAGGAAAATGCATGATTGTCAACAACAGAGGCACATCACGGTATGAGATACATTGTGGGAAGATCAAAAGAGAAAAATAAATGTATAAAGACAAGATGCATGATTTTCAAAACAGAGGCACATCAAGGTATGAGCAACATAGTGGGAAGATCAAAAGAGAAAACCCAATATATGAAGACAAGACGCATGATTGCCAACAACAGAGGCACATCAATGTATGAGCTGCATAGTGGGAACATCGGTGTATGAGCAACATAGTGGGAAGGTCAAAAGAGAAAAAGATAAATGTATGAAGACAAGGTGCCTGATTGCCAACAACAGAGGCACATCAATGTATGAGCTACATTGTGGGAAGGTCAAAAGATAAAGAACTAAATGTATGAAGACAAGGTGCATGATTGCCAACAACAATGGCACATCAAGGTATGAGCAACATAGTGGGAATATCAAAAGCGAAAAATCAATGTATGAAGATTAGATGCATGATTGCCAACAACAGAGTCACATCAAGGTATGAGATACATAGTGGGAAGGCCAAAAGAGAAAACAAAATCTACTAAGACAAGATGCATGATTGCACACCACAGAGGCAGCTCAAGGTATTAGCTACATAGAGGGAATGTCAAAAGTGAAAAAATTAAATGTATGAAGACAAGGAGCATGATTTCCAACAATAGAGGCACATCAAGGTATGAACTACATAGTGGGAAGGTCAAAAGAGAAAACTAAATGTATAAAGACAAGATGCATAATTGCCAATGACAGAGGCACATCAAGGTAATACCTGCATAGTGGGAAGGTCAAAAGAGAAAACTAAATGTATGAACACAAGATGCATGATTGTCAACA